CTGATGGTACATTATCGGTAGGGTATAGAGACTGGTAGAATATCATAGAGGGAAGCACAATGGACCAATACTGGTCTAAGTGCATGGGGAAACCCACCCTCTGCAATAAATAACTAACTAACTAACTAAACCTTTACTTCATGACATAAGACGTTCGGCGCCACAGTTTTAATTCCTCCCTCCAAAATTACCAAAATGTCCACCGTGTAAAGTCAGTTTTTACGTTTTAATTCCAAGAGAGCCGTGAATAGGAATACCGAAAAAAATTCTCGTTATACTGTGGTTACTGATTACAAAGACGTCTGCGAAATGCAAATTTAAAAAAAATATATATTCGAATGCAGCGGCTAAAAGAGACTGTAAAGGTGGTCACAGAGTTTGGTGGACGAGTGATCAGCCCGGCGCAAGGCCGCTACCTACACACAGAACAACGCAGAATAAACGCACACACCGACATCCATGCCTTGAGTGGGACTCGAACCCACGATCCCAGTGTTCGAATGAGCGAAGACGGTTCATGCCTCAGACCGCGCGGCCACTGTGATTGGCTGGTGCAGAACTCGTACTACAGGAATTCTCTCTCTCGTCGCATTAGTAACAATAATGCAGGGCCGCGCCACAGCTCAAGCGGTTAGTCGCTGGCTTCCCACCGCGGCGGCCCGGGTTCGATCCCAGGTCTGGTCAAGTGGGATTTGTGGTGGACAAAGTGGCGCTGGGGCACGTTTTCTCCGAGTACTTCGGTTTCCCTTGCCAATCTTCATTCCACCAATTGCTCCACAATCACCCTCACCTATCATCTGGAGCTGGTACAATAGGCCAGAAGTGGCCGCAATACAAGGAACTTAGTCCACCCCACTAGCAATTAAAAAAAAGTTCAATCATGCAGAACAAGAAGTTTTTGTTTGGGACGTCCTTGTCTCAATAAACAGACTAAAGACAACGCAAAATGTTAAGTTCTTCATGACACAAAATAAAACAATCAACAAACCCCTAATAATATGAGGGCCCCAAGAGCATCTGAGATGAGGTTCGCTGATCTTATGTATACAGGGAAGTTAACTGAATTTTGTTCCTTTGATTTCGTCAAAGTATATTACTGACTGTGCTTGTGAGGATTTAGCGAACACATTTACTTAAGGCTCCGCTGAAAGAGTTGCAAACAATTATAGCACTTTTCAAGAATTATAGGCTGCCCCATGAAGACCGACATCACGGGAACAAAAGCTGTGAACCGTAAGGACTGTTTCAGTGCGCTTTCTTCCGGGCTTCACGGGCCGAACCCTGTTCAGACAGCCGCTCTCAGGCGAGGTGGAGGGGAAACTTCCTGTCCAGCAGTCGCCTGAAGCAAGAGGAGAAGCAATGGGCTGCCACTGACATGCAATGGCCCGATCGAGGTATTTGCTGACCGTCATCCGTATTAGCATGATGGGCCATTCCACATTCAAGCCCGTACGCGCCGTTCACGGTCAAACTAACACCATTTAATGTTCATTTTCTTCCTATTCTTCTGTTTACATTTCTGTCCTATCCTACTGCTCCCTTTGTTGCAAGAGTTGTCTCTTCTCCACGGTGCCCAGATCAGCTGAGGCCCACCCAGCCTTCTATACAAAGTGTAAGGAGCTCTCTTTCCGAGGGTAAAGCGGCAGGGCCGTGAAGCTCACCACTCACCTCTATCTAGTGCCGAGGTCCACTTCCCCATGTGTCTTCATGGTGTAGTGCTTAATTAAGCACAAGGGCAACTTTACCGCAAAGCTTTTCATCTGTCTACGTCTCCTCTTCCGTTTCCTGTTGTTGCTTGGTTCTAACGTCCGTTGAGAGGATCTTCTCTCAAGTTTCCCTGTGCCTACGTACCCACTATGCCACGAAGGCGTACAGTGTGGTGTAGGTAAAGCTCCGCACATTCTTAATCTTGACACTGACGGCGATAAGAGATCTCTTCACGCTCGGCAGCGGGGGAAGAGCTCCCGGAGATTGAGTGGGCCCCACAGCAGGTCGGGACATGGTGGTGAGGAAGAAATTTGAAACCGGTTGTGAATTGAACCCTGGTCTTCCAGCCCGTAGCCAGTTACTTTAAAATCAGGGCTTCTCCAATATTTATTTTGATAATCACTTTCCTTATGTTCGATTAATATGTTATTTGTTCTTATTCTGATACCGGTAGGCTTCATTTCGACGTTTATAATGTCTACCAATTCATTCTGCAAACGCTATCTTGCAGTTCGACTCTCCCTATTAAATATTGCAGATATCGTTTCACATTTTGCTGCTTAATCTTTACGTGTTCGTGGCCAAACTTCACTTTCGAAACGAAAAGTCAAGTTGGCCACAATATAACGAAGTTTTCGTATAATTTATTCTGAAAAAAAAACATTCCTATAATTATATCCTCTGTTACATGTGCACATCACAAGTTTGTGAGATCAGTTACGACCGAAACACTGGAAGTTTCTGAGTGACGCATTACCTCGCATCTTTCTCAACCGTACCATTAGCATTTGTTTTCGGTCTAATTTCTGAGAAGCCAAAATTTATGCCTGAATATTTCCCCTACTACTTCCATAAGTAGAGACACGAACACTCATTTCAAAGTGTAACTGTCATGTATCATTCTGACACAAGTACGAATAGTAACAAGACTAACTGGTGCTCAATACGGCAGCACGAACTTGGACTTACGATCGACAAGCACGTATAACAGGGAAGCTCGCTTCATGATATCTGTCCAAAGATTTATTGGGGCGATATTGGAGTGTACTGACCTGTCGACTTAGCCACGAGTCCGAACGAGCGCAGTGTGAGTTAATGTGAGCAGCGTGTCCGTCCCCCTTGATCGGCTGGAAGATTTGAGTCAGACCTTCAGGCAACCTCCCACTACTTCCTTAGATATTCGCTACATAGGCCTTAAAACCCGTTTATATGTAAATATAAATAAATGTATCTTCTATATAAATACAAATGTAAATGTTCCTTTGAGTTTTACCTAAGATCTCCGAAACTTCTTCACCGATCGCTTCGAAATTTTGACACAACGTTGCATTCGAACACGCGCGTTTCTGTGTGCCTATTATGTAGATGTCACACCCGTGACAGGTAAAAACCTGCCACATGTTCCGAATCCAGCAGTCGTTTCAATTGTAACGCTAGAACAGTTAGCGTATACTTCCATGGGAACGCAATAACAGTTTGCCGTTGCTAGCATTTCCTAAGCAACGGACGAAACTAACTCTTCGATAAGGTATTCCCTATCCCGTCCGAGCGCTGGCTATATGTATAAGAGAGTTTAGCTCCGGCGACTGTTCAGTATCACGAGTGTCTCGAGTATCACGAGGTCACAAGTATCACAAGAGATTATATATTTCATATATTGTATATTTCATATAAAACTCTATATACATATATATGTAACGAAGAGTATGTATTTAATTGTTCTTCGTACGTTTCCACACATTTGCTTCTACGTATTTCCACGAAATATGGTATGACGGTAGAGAACCTCACTGGG